GTAAAATTTTTAAACCGCTGTGAATTTATACACCCAAATCGTCCAATCTAATACCACGGTTTTGGAGGGGTGGGTTTGGGACAATATGGTGGGTATTTTGCACACCATCAATAAGAAATGTAAAATTATAACTACTCCAAAAACAGTGCAAACATGCTGCTGTTGCAATTCAACTTCCTTTATGTCAGATTAATGTTTAAATTTCCAAGTTATTCCCACGCGAGGCTCTTAAATTGTGTTTGGTTACGCTATGCTTGGTTGGAGAATTTAGAGAAGAATTTATAAAGAGAAAGGAAAAATGTGTGTGAAACTAGGTGAAATATATATATGTTTTATTCATATTTAACCTACCTTTTCAATTTCTTTTTTTAAATTCCTGCTCAAATCCTCAACCAAACGCAACAAAAAGATTTGATGAGAAAACTAAAAAAGAAAAAGAAGATAGAAAGAAAATGATAAATAACTGATAAGATTTGAGTTCCAAACCATATTTGGTTGAGTTGGGAAATAGCGGGAAAAAGAGCCTAAAGTGAACTAAAAACACAGAAAGTGTGATTGTATTTCCCTTACTTTTTTTTTTTTTTTTTTCTCTCATGTGTTTTCCATTACAACCAATTAAAAAGTAACATTACATTTCATTTTTTCTTTTCATTTTTTTTATCAAATTTTTCAACCAAATACAATCTTAATTAATCAATTTTTAAGATAGTTTCTTTACACTTTACATACATGAATAGGGCTCCCTGACATATACATACATATACCCATGACAATATGACAACCAATTCTATGGTCGCATAAAGTCTGTGTGTTGGAGTGTTCACACTGTAAAATCCAATAAAAAATGCATAGCCCATACTAAAACCTCAGTTAGGGAATTAAAAAAGAGGCAAAAGGGTGGGAACCCAATTTCTGATCATAAAGTATTGTGTGTTCACACTACGTAAAAATTAAGAAAAAGGCATAGCCCATACTAAAGGAAATTAAAAAGAGGCACAGCCCATGAACATAGAATTTGATCAAAACCCAATCCTATCCTATACAATAACAACTATGATACAGACTACTAAAATAAGATCACTAAAAGCAGCTCTAATGACGTGGCATGCCTAAAAAAAAATTAAAATAGAAAGAAAAGAGGAAAAAGACAAAACACAAAGAGGAAAAAGACAATTTAATGCTCTTTTAGTGCTCTTCTTTTAGTGCTCTAAATCATTTTTCATACAATAAACAAAAAGTCTTATCCTTATGACATATACAATAAACAAAGAAAAATGCTTGGGAGCACTAATTAGTGCTCTCACTAATTAGGTGGCAGTGGGTCCCGCCATTAATGATGTGATGTTTTGGTCTTGGAGTTTTTTTTTTTTTTTTTTTTTTTACTTTTTTAATGCATTAGTGCTATTAGTGGTGATGTTTTTAGTGGGATCAGGGATGAATCATTATTGATAAACAAAAGCCTTATCCTTATGACATGTATTATTAATTTGATCAAAAAGGTACGGCGTGTTTGTGTTTTTGTGCTACCCACAATATAAAACCCATGGAAACTGCATAGAAAATACCCAAAACCCATAATGGAGAGGGATTAGGGTTGTACACAGATTTCTGAACATAATAAAATAAAAGGTTCGGTTAGTAAAGGGTTGTTTGGGGTGTCCTAAATAAGTGCATTTTTTGTCTTTTTAGACTAAAAAGTTAAGGGAAAAAATATGGATGTTTGGGTTAACTTTTTGACTTTTCATGAAAAAATGTGTAATAAAAAATTGTAAAAATTGGTTTGTAGAGAAAAATTAGAATTGTGAGTTGTGCAGCCATAATTGTTGACTTTTGGTGAATAGTGTTAACTTTTTAACTTTTTGAGTAATTTTTTTTACTTTTTAGCTTTTTTTACATACCCCAAACTTGGCCTAAGTGTTCCAGGGACATAAAAAAAAAATATAAAAATATGAGTAATGATACAGGAAAAAAAAAATTTGTACAGAATTTTTGTACATAATGACGTGGCTCGATGCAAATTCATATTAAAACATAATATTCATAAAGACAATACTTATTTACTTAAATGATATTGTTGCGTTATTTTTGTATTGGTTTTTGTAAGAATTTTTACATTGATAGAATATCCCAAAACATGTAGAAGTCAATTTTTTTTATTTATTAATTTCATAAAAAGAATTTAAATTTTTTGATATTGTGTTTGGTGGAGAGATTTAGAAAATAATTTTTTTTTAAAAAAAAGAAAAAATAAATAAAATATAAATAAAATATACTTACATTTCACTTAATTTCATACATATATTTTTTTTCTTTTTAAATTTCTTTTCAAATCCCAACCAAACACAGTAGATTGTTTTCCAAAACACTTTATATAGGACCAAGCATTAAAGGACTTTGACTGTTTGGTTGATTAATAATGAGACTGAACTAAGAGAAATATGTGGGGGCCAATGTTTAGAGTTTGTCCCTTAGTTAATTCTTCCTAATCCTTTGTTTATTTGGAAGGATTACTAATTCTAAACAACCTGCACAAAATGAGTTAAATATATTAGTGCTTGTTTGGCATGTGTTAAATTAAAACATGTTATTTTAACATATTATTTTATTTAGGTTATAATTATCTTATTTGTATCACGTCATATCTTTACCACATCATTTTAAATTCAATCTATATTTTATGTTTTTTCGTAAAAAATTAAAAAATATATTAATCTAACACTTCCTAAACAATCCCATAATATGAAATAAATGTTTACATCTATTTTTTTTTCTTTCTAAAATTATAAAATATTAATTTATTAGTAAAATTAAAAATTATACTAAAAAGATCACCGACTTATCGCTATTTTATCAACTTAAACTCCTGCCCTTCCTTTCGCCCCAATTTAAGGCATGATTAGAAAATGGTGCCCATTCTGTGTTCTATTTCTTTTGCACATCTAAAATTTTCAAAACTACTATGCACCTGAGACAAGTTAGGTGGCGCCTGAGGTTGACTTTGATTGGTTAGAATAATAAGATCTACAACTCATGTCTTTTTTTTTTCTTTTTTTTTATGTGAGTGCTGCTCCGTTTCAAATTTATGTGACCTAATTTTTTAGAAAACTCAAATTTAAAAAAATGCCAAAGAATAATGTTACAATAACCAAATTTTCATATAGAAAATAATTATTACTCGATGTGACACCTATAAGTTATATCTATACATCCTTACAATATGTGAAAGATGTGATTCATTATAACAATGTATTAATAACACCTTAGAAGAAAAAAAATAATACAAGCATTTTAATCATCACATTAGTTTTATTAATTGGGAATAATAATAATATTGAAATGATCACATCTTTACATCATATTTTGTTTACGATTTCATTTGTTAATTTTGCATTGATCAAAAGAGAAAATTATCAATCATATTCAGTGTGTTTGGTTTTAATTTTCTGAATTCAATTTTTTGAAAATTAAATTTTTTTGTTTTTCTTATTTTTTTATTTTTAGTGAATATTTTAAAATTTTTAAGTAATTTTTTAAACTTTTTTAGATGTACCTTAGATGTATCTAAAAATTAAAATATTTATAAAAATAATATTTTAAAAAATTAATAAATACAAAAGAATACGAAAAATATATTAAATTTTTGTATTTTTTTTATATTTTTGGTATTTAGTGAATTTTTTATAATTTTTTGTACAAGAATACAAAAAGGTACTGAATTTTTATATTTTTGATATTTAGTAAATTTTTTTTAAAAAAAAAATCAACAAATATTATACTTTTTAAGTGTATTTATGTTAGGTGTATCTAAAAAATATTTTTAAAAATTGCTTAAAATATTAAAAAAATTCAGTGAAAACAAAAAAAAATACAAAAAATAAAGAATTTAATTTTTTGAAAAGTGAACGTAGAAAATTGAAACCAAACAATCATTCTAATTTATGCACCCTAAAATATGTTTGTATTAGGCAATTTCACAAATGTCATAACTAAAAATAATAATTAATCATAATTAAACATTACATAAACACCAAAATAATAATAATAATAATAATAATAATAATATCCAAAATCATTATTAGTCACAAACTAACAGAAAATGCGTGTTTGGAGTTGCTTATTTTGTGATTTTTTTGTATACTTATATTTCTGTTTTTAATAAACATTTTTAAATATTTTTTTTAAAAAAACTTTAAACTTCTATATTCAGCTTGAAGAGATGAATCAAAAAATTTAAAAATTTAACAAAAATTCCAAAAAATGTGAAAAGGAAAAAATGAACAAAAAAATGTACTATTTTTGTCTTATTTTTACTTTGAAAATTTTTTAAAGAATTTTTTCAAAATAATTATTTTTTAGATTCATCTACTCAAAACGGACCAGAAAAATAAAATTTTTTGGACATAATTTAAAGAAAAAAAAGTCATTAATAAAAAAATAAAAAAAGGGTTTTATAAGTGTCTCCAAACATCCTAAAATCATAACTAGTGTTATAATAAATCATAATCCAGGATCACATATGATGAGTCTTTCATGACTAGAAAGAAATAAATGAATAAAAGTGTAAATGATAAAAAAAAATAAAAGAAAGTAAAAGAAAATATAGGAAATAGTATGAATTTGATTAGGATAAAAATTTTATAAAAAATAAGAACTCTAATTATAAATAATTACTTTTATAACAAATTTAGACTTTTTTATATTATACTATATTTTTTTACAAAAAATTAGAAATTTAGTTATTATATTATCATGAGTTGTTAAAAAAAAAAAATACTTTCTTAAAATTTTCACAACTTTCATACCCAAACTTAAATTTTATTTTTTTTTTTCATTTATTTACTTTTTATCATTTTCATCCTAGTCAGTTGTACACAACGTTTTCCAAGAAAACAACATGAATGCACATGTGGCGCACTATCGCACAATTATTCTAGAAATTTTCTTGTAAATTTTCCCATCGAATTTTCCAACCGTAAATGCCAATTGGTACGACTAGCATCTGGATTCTGATTTCTATATTGTCTCTTCTTTCCTTCAAATACCCAACAATCTCTACCCTCCAACTCCCGACTCTCCACCTTCATTTTTCTTCTATCTCTCTCTCTCCAAACTTTCCCCGAAAATCTTCAAATTTTCTCTCCCCACAATCCCCCTTTCAATTTCCCGAGAAAATTTCTAATGGGTAAGACCGGATTGTTTGACCTCGAGAAGCACTTCGCCTTCTACGGGGCTTATCACAAAAACCCGGTGAATGTCTTGATTCACATGTTGTTTGTGTGGCCAATCTTCTTCACTTCCCTTATGCTCTTCTACTTCACACCTCGCTTCTTTGATTGCCCATTTCAGTGCAGACTCGGATTGGTTCCCAATTTTGGGCTTTTGTTCACTTTGATATATGCTGTGTTCTATGTGTGTTTGGATCGGAAAGGTGGTTCTTTGGCTGCTATTCTCTGTTTGGCTTGTTGGGTCTCTGCTAGTCTTCTTGCAAAGCACCTTGAATTCTCTCTCGCATGGAAGGTGAATTGTTTGATTATCAATTTTTTCATGAATATATTTGATGTTTTGTGTGTTTATTGACTCTTATGCCTTCCTTTGATTCAGCTGGATTTTTAATGAATTTAATTTTTTTGGATTGCTAAGACATGTTTGGTATGGTTTTGATTTCCAAAAAATTGTTCTTGAATCTTTTAAAGATGTTTTCTCACAAAAATTAAAACAATATGCGAGCAATGGGTGTGTTTGAATTTTTTTTATTGTTTTTGTTTCCAATCATTCCATAAATGAAAACATAGAAATCACAACGATGACAAACAGATCTATGTCTTTTTTGACTTGGAAATTAAAGCATGTGTTTGTTCATGAATCAAAGGGATGCTATGTGCTTGATATTGAGAACAAGTATTTTATCTTTGTTTTGAATTGCTTTACTGATTGTGCTCTTCTTGCAATGGTTTAACTTTTAATTTTTGGTTGGATTATGAGTTTCGAGTTGGGATGCCCTTGGAAACTGAATGATCCATTTTATAGTATATTATGTCAACTGTTACGAATTGATATTTATTTTAAAAGATTAATTGAAATTGATAGGCAGAAAAGGGTTAATGTTGCAGACCCCTCAGAACATTTTATCCAAAAAAAAGAAAAAGAGAAAAAAAGAAAGAAATATGTCACGACACTACATACACATAAATACATCTTGCCCTCCTCAGACCCGCTTTAGTCGAGAGTCTTGTGCACTAGGTCACCCTTTTTAACTGTGTCACCACTTTTCTAACAGGGATGACACCTGAGTAATGTCGCTAGCTTCCATTTTGTGATATTGTCATTCTGGTCTTCAAATGCCCTGTAAAATAAAATTTCATAGCAGTACTTTCAAGTTCCAGTAGAAGACCATGGAAATGTCAAAATCTTTTATCACACAATTAGCAATCAAAATAGAAAGAATAATTTCTCTTCCTCTTTAATGATCACTTGTTCTCTTTTACTACATTTTGTTTTTTCTGTGGATTTTGTTTACAATTATCTATATATGTCAATTCAATTATTATTGTTTTGATTAAGGGTTGAAATATGAAGTGTTGTTAATGTTGCAAAATACAGATGTGCCCTATGCTAAAATGTTATGTAACTAGACACGGTTATCTCTTCCTTCCTGATGTAGGTTGTATTTTTTATTATTATTTTTTTTTCTTTGAACATTTAGTTAGTCTTTTGAACACACATGTATTATCGTTATCATTGACTCTACTTAATTCATATTCTTTCTGATTTTTACCTTACTGACGGCCGTCATTCTCTTACCTTTTAATGGTCTTGATTCAAGTTGCTAATGCTGTTTGTCACTTTTTGGAAAAAAAAAATGCTAATGTGGTTTGTCCATGTCAATAGGTAACTGAACATGAAAATGGCAAATAATGCACTTATATTAGAAGTTTTTGAGAAGTAATTCTACCTTATATCTGCTCTGTATGATTTTGCTTGAAAACTACGTGGAGTAACATTGACCTACAGTAGAAGAATGTAAAACTTCGATTTCTGGACAAATTACAATGTTTCCAAGGACCATAGCACACGGGAATTATGGTGATTAGTAGACTATATATATATTTTTGTTATGAGAATGCTTTGAGTCTATGCTATTTTGTGCTTTTTCGAATGATGGCAGCTCTTGGAAAACCTGAGGCCACTAAAAATAGTTGACTATTATTATTATAAGGGATGAAAATCCTACAAGTTATGTATTGCAACTCTAGAAGATAGTCTAAGCTGCATCATGAGACCTTCATGGTTATTTTGGTTGATTGTGAAACCCGTCATAAAGAAAAATCACAAGGAAGCTGCTAATTGAATATGGAATTGGTGTATTGGAACTTGGGAGGCTTCTTACCAAAGTTAAGGTTCAAAAACAAGTTAATGAACATATGAGAAGAGTGTGAAGAAGGTCTTCCAATCTAATTTATAAAGGGAATGTGGAACATGTTAGCCCAGTATGCCTTCGTTAACATGCCACAAACCATTTGATTGAGTAAGAACCACTTTGCTGGAGGTTTCTGGCAAAACTCACTTCAGAAAGCCCATATGTTTTTTTTTTTTTTGGATGCTTCGAGGTTCGAGCTGGTAGAATTTATTCTAATTCATTGTTCAAGTGTTTTATTTATTTATTGTTCCCTCCATTATGTGAACTGAATTCAGTGTTTTTTTCTCTTATTTAAAGTTAACCCCTTTATTTCAACTGCACATTCAGGTTGTTCTGGCGGCTCAGTTGTTCTGTTGGACAGGACAGTTCATAGGCCATGGCGTTTTTGAGGTAATTCATTCTATACTTTGGATCGCGTTATTTATTGCCTCTCTATAATGCCAGATAATATAGCTAGCTTGTTATTTTCTACAGAAACGAGCACCAGCTCTGCTGGACAACCTTGCTCAAGCCTTCCTGATGGCTCCTTATTTTGTATTCCTCGAAGTAAGTTTTCTCGTCAAACAAAATTCTCAAAATGAAAAAAATGGGTTCCAATGAGTTGAAGATTGAACTGTTTGTGCTGTCAATGTTGGTTTCAAATGGGTTCCAATGAGTTGAAGATTGAACTGTTTGTGCTGTCAATGTTGGTTTCTTGCAGGCTCTGTCGCACTTCGGCTATGAACCATATCCTGGATTTCATGCAAGTGTGAAAGCAAAGGTAGATGCTGAAATTGCGGAATGGAAGGAGAATAAAGCGAAGAAAATCTCCTAGTTCGATCTGGTTGTTGTTTAAGTGATCTTTAGTTTCTGTTAAGCTTTGTAACGAATTGAGAAAAGAAATCAGCTTGTCTCTTGTCAGACTGTTTACACATTTGACAATTTGCGGTTGAATGTTGTTCTGACTTTTTCACCAGTGCTCATAAATCCATATTTGCTTGAGAAACTTGGCATTTTTTAGTGTATTTTTTTAGCTTTCTTATGAGATCAAAAAATTTAGAGGTGTTTACGTGTAGGTCCTAATAAGTGGACTTATTATTTAATAGATCCTATGAAAAAGATTTGTCATAAAAAAAGTTACTAATTGTAAGTTTTAGCGACAATTTGTAAAAATCATGACAAAAAAAAGTCATTAATTGTTAATTTTTAGCGACTTATGTAAAAAATTGTCATAAAAAAATTATTTTTAGCCACAATTTTATCAAAACTTATTTTCAATAAGACTTGATGGGAATTAAGTCTAACTATTAGAACCTATTGGTAGTTTATTCAAAAATTTAGGCATTGTTTGTCATAATCTAAAAAAGTCATAATCTAAAAAAGTTAAAAAGTTATTATCCTATTTAAGTCACATCATTTTATTTAAGTCACATCACTTCTTTATCATATCACTTTGAACTTAATTTATATCTAACTTATATTTTATAAAAAGTCAAAAAATACAATTATTTAGATCATCTCAAACTATCCCTTAATATGTTTGAAAATAATTTTTTCAATTGAATAGAAATTTTTTTTAAAAAAATGATTGGATGATATGTAGGATGTGATTTTTTGTTATTTTTTATTTTTATTTTATTTTTTAGGGCAAAGCCACTCCCCGAGTGAGGCACAGAGCGTACATGGCCCGGAGGCCCGGCCATGATTATTAGGGTTTGGGATTACTTTAAGGAATCAATACAAAATAAGTCCCTTCAATAGGAAAAAGTATCTCATAAGTTTGCTCTATATCGTGCGTGGTATACCCTTGTAATTTTATTGATTATATATATTTACTAATTTCTATTTTTTTCCCATGTATTACATAAAACAACCACTATTATCTTGTGGGCACCCAACCTAACTAGAATTCCTGAAAGATAGAATAATTCTTCCAACAATAAATGCCCTACTCAATTCCCTATTTAAGGGAGTAACCTTTTGGCTCCCTATATATATATATATATATTAAGGGAGGCTTCAATCACTCCTTATAATTAAAAAAATTATTCTTTCTCTCATATATTATTTAAAGCGTTTTGTTCACCTGAGCCCTTAGAGCATCTCTCATAGTATTCCTATTTTCACTTTTTCCTTACTTTAAGTAATCAAATACAAAATAAGTCCCTTTAATAGGAAAAATTATCACATAAGTTCGTTCTATATCGTAGGTGGTATACCCTTGTAATTTTATTGGTTATATATATTTACTAATTTCTATTTTTTTTCCCATGTATTACATAAAACAACCACTATTATCTTGGGGGCACCCAGCCTAACTAGAATTCCTGAAAGATAGGATAATTCTTCCAGCAATAAGCTCCCTATTTAAGGGAGTAAACTTTTGGCTCCCTATATATATATATATATATTAAGGGAGGCTTCAATCACTTCTTATAATTTAAAAAATTATTCCCTCTCTAATTCCTCATCTTTTTCTCAAATGGTGGAGGATAGAGAATAAAGTTTGGAAAAGTATTTTTAATAAAAACTGATATAAAATAAAATATTTTTAAAATTTTTAAAATATATAGAGAAAAAATAGGGAGTGTTGTTGGATAGGATAGTTGAGAAAGTGGTTCTCTAAAATAGGAAAGACACTTTTTAATTAAAATTTGAAGAAAATTTAGGAAGAATTATTGGAGATGCTCTTAGGATGTGACAAAATTTTAAGACTTTTATATGTGCTTTGTATTTGTGGCATGGTAATTTGTAACCAGTAATGATACTGATAAATTTATCTATGTGATAAACGATTAAGACATTTTGATTTTTGTTTATGAATTTTGATTTATTTTTAATTTATTTGTGTGTGTTTGTATTGAAATATGATGTAAAAAGTGTAAATAGTTAAATTGTATTTGTTTAAAAATATTTTGTTGGAATATAAAACTGTTTGATAAATAAATTCAATCCACAAGACTGCCTCGTAATTGGCCCTTATTTTTATTGGTTAATGGGCTACATTCGTAGCTTTGGAATTTCAATTCCTTAAATGTGGGTTCAGGATTTTGAATTTTTAAGGAGGGTTTGAAAATTTAATTTAAACTTAGGAGTGGTTTGGAATGATTTAAATAAGTGTACATGTTGACTTTTTATGAAATATGGATTCGGTATAAGTTGAGTTTGAAGTGATGTAGTAAATAGGTGATATAACTTAAATAAGATTATGTGACTTAAATAGGATAGTGACTTTATGACTTTTTGACTTTTTTAGATTATGACAAATAAGATCTTAATCACTGGGCCCGGCTCAGGCTTGGGTTAATGTATCTCGTATTGTTATATAGGGCAAACTTGGCCCGAAACAGACAGCCACCATACGCCCATCCATATACATGAATATATCAGAAATCATTGTACTTTGATTTTTCGATCCAGTGTGGATAAAATTCAATCATCTGAATATACATCATGTGAATAAGAAGTTTATACAAAATTAAGCTGTATATGCAGTTCTTATCTCTCCAATCTCTGCCAAAGCATTGGTTGGCTCCGGCAACCTTGGATGAATGCCAAAGAGGCTATTACCGGGCTGAGGTTTCTGAACTCCCCTCTCCCTCATTGATTTTCTTACTCTAGCCGTGTCATCCCATTGACCCGCACTTGCATACATGTTTGCTAGAAGAACATAATCACTACTATGATCCGGTTCCAAATCCAAAAGATGCCTCCTCACCTGCTCCCCTAGTTCAACGTTACCATGCAACCGACAAGCAGCCAACAAAGTCCTCCAAACAATGGCATTGCATTCCATCGGCATGTCCCTTATCAACTGATAAGCCTCCTCAACTAACCCTGCTCGGCCCAAAACATCCACCATGCATCCATAATGCTTTATTGTTGGTTGGATATGGTAGTCTTTTTGCATACTATCGAAGTACCTTCTTCCCTCTTCAACCATTCCTCCATGGCCACAAGCACATAAAACTCCTAAGAAAGTAACATCATTTGGTCTCTCAAGCTTCTCTTCTAACATTTTTGAGAACAGTACCAATGCTTCATCTACATGACCGTGAATTGCTAACCCTAGAATCATCGAATTCCATGATACTATGTTCCTCTTAATCATGTTATTGAAAATATCATATGCTTCTTTAACTTCTCCACACTTGGCATACATGTCAATCAGGGCATTAGAGACCGAAACAATATCAACAAGGGTAGTGCGGCAAATAAATGAATGTACCCACCTCCCAAACTCCAACGCACCTGAGGCAGAGCAAGCTGCGAGGGTCACAACCAATGTGGCCTCGTCTGGTTCTACGCTGCTTCTCAACATCCTCGAAAACAACTCAAGTGCTTTTCTATGGTTTCCACAATGGACATGGCAATCAATTATGGTGTTCCAAGCTACAAGTTCTGGTTTGGGTATTTCATCAAACAGTTGGTGGGCAATTTCAGTGATCCCCAACATGCCATACAAGTGAATGAGAGTGTTCCTCACAAACACATGGGTTTCAAGGCCATGTTTGAGAGTACAACAATGCATTTGCTTTCCCAACACAACTGATCCTAACTGTCCACTAACTTTAAGCAAGAAAGAGAGTGTGAAATTGTCTGCTTTCTCTCCCTTTTCTTGCATTTTCTTGAAGCAATCAAAAACTTTATACACTTGATTTGTCCTTCCAAACCCTCTAATCATTGTGTTCCAAAGAAACCCATCTGGGTTTTCAGTATTTTCAAAGACTGAAACTGCATAATCCATTGAACCGTGGTCCGAAACGGCGCAAAACACAATGATCTTGCCAACAAGATAGAGGTTTTGATCAAGGCCTGTGTGGACAAGGTGGGCATGAATTTGTTTGACATGTTTGATGGTGGAACATTGTTTGAAGAGAGAGAGGAGAGTTTGTTCCTTTGAAGTGTGATTGCCATTTGGGTTTGTAGTTTTGGTAGTTATGAATGAAGAAAAAGAAGAGATTCTGAGCTTTGAGAGAGGCAATGGAAAGAGGGATAATTTTGTTTTGGTATGGAAACAAAGTGAAACTGTTAGGGATGCTTTGAGGCAGTTACTATTGCCCATGCTAACTAACAGATGACTTAACAAATTCCAAGAAAGGCTCATGGATGATATATGGCCCCGATTAATGCTTGGACCCACAAAAAAAGGACCACTGAGAGAGGATTAATGAGGTAGTTCTCCTTTTAATGTGATAACTGTCCCTTATATTTTTCCTTTTATTTTTATTTTTTATATTTTTTAACTCATTAAAACTATCAATGAAGAGATTTTTTTAGTAATCTCTATCCTTCTTGATAGCCCACCCATTCAATAGCCCACCCATTCGATGGAATTGTCAGAGCAACTTCAAATTAAATACACTCCAAATAATAACCAGAGTAAATTACACTTACTTCTTCGAAGCTATACTTTAATTACAGATAATTTTTTTTTTAATTTTAAAAATTACAGACCTTTTTTATTTTTAAAAATAATAGTCAAATCTCCCTTTTGTTAGGAAAATTCTATTTCCACACACCTAATTAACTTAGAGCACATTTTTTCTCAATACACACTTATTAATTAATTTTTTCAATCCACACACTAAAAGTAATAATTATATCATTCACTCAAATATTATTATACACACACCACTTACCTCTTATTTTCACACACTTTTAATTTATCCAACTTCTACGTTTTTGAACTACTCATGTGAAAACCTTTTGACCAAAGTCTGAAGTAAAAAAGTCCAGAAACTTTTCCTTCATTGAAGACACCCATAAAAGACCTCCATTGAAAAAACCTCCCAAGTAGTAATTGATTTGTCTTCCTTGGACAATTACAGCTAATCCATGTTTTACATTATACAACCATATAGCACCTCAACCACTTCTCTTTTACTTCGAAATAAACAGTAACAAAATCAATTTGTGGTAAAAAGACAACACATGAAGCGATGAAGTAATTCGTAATACGAAATGAAAGAAATTATATCAAACAAATTCAGAAAAACAACACAGTTGAAATCATGCTAGTGTGCTACATTAACGCAATCACGTATGTAGCAAAATAGAGAAAAGGGGTTATCGAGAATGGAGAGATGGAAAAAGTAGGGTTTAACAAGTAAAGGGCCAACAATGAAAGAATTAGAATTTAATTTTTTTTAACTCAAAAGGTGTATGTTAGAGATTTTTTTGTTTTTAAATGATGTGTACAGAAAAATTTTCAATATAATATTATAAGTGTTTCTAGATGTCTATTATGGTCATTTTTATTTAGGATATAATTGTTATTAAATTAATATTTCATTAAGTGTGGATCCTGAGTTAATTAGATGGGTGGAAATAAAATTCTCCCTTCTGTTAACTTTGTTCCAAACGGTATCAAAAATAACATTAAATGACTAAAATACCCACCTTCCATCTTTCTCTCTATTCACCCAACTATTACAACATTGCCTCATCTAACTCACTAAGGGGTTGTTTGGGGTGTTCTAAATAAGTGTACTTTTTGACTTTTTGGATTAAAAAGTTGAGAAAAAAAATATGATTGTTTGGGATAATTTTTTGACTTTTTACAAAAAAATGTGTATTAAAAAATTGTATAAATTAGTGTATAAGGGAAAATTAGAATAAAATAGGTTGTACGGTGGGATGAGGTAAGGGACAACGTGCAGTGTATAGGCTAAGAGATGATTCCCTCCTTTTCGGGCATTGAATGGACGGTGTTGTTTGGCCCACCACGGGTCCCGTTTTGCTAATCGGAACCGTTCAATGTGTAGAACTCGTCAAGTACTATATGCTTGTAAAAAATCACATTGATCGGATATCGATAGTTATTTGATCGGATTAATTTTTTTTCAACCGTTAACTATAACACCATCAGTTTTTTATACAAAATTGATTTGATCATGTAATTAGCGATATCTGATCAACGTGATTTTTTCCAGACATATAGTACTCGACAAGTTGTACATATTGAATGGTTCAAATTATCAAAACGGACCCATGATGGCCTCTACGGGCCGAACAGCATCGTGTTGTTTGTGCAACCCGCCTGTGCAATTTTTTCCAAAGTCAGCTTGTGCCTGTGGGACGTCAGTTCAGTTTGTAATAATTTTGTGTAAAATTAATTTCTTTATATATTTTTTTGGTGAATAATGATGACTTTTCAACTTTTTTAATAACTTTTTGACTTTTAGATTATTTTAAGGATCCCAAACTAGGCCTAAATCTTACTTGAAGATAAATTAGTGACCTACTATTCAAGGCTATTATCACTTTATATCTCCAAGTGAGTTTACATTTAAATTTAATGAATTATTACACATTCATAAAAAAAAAAGTTTATGTTTTTAATTATTAATATTATACAATTTACCATTTTTTTTATAATTATTTTTCAAAACCATTCCTGAAATAAAAATTTTCCTAAATTTAAAGTGCTTAACTAAACTTTTATACCCCACCGTGCAAGGCTATTGAAAAAAAGGGGAAAAAAAAATCTCAGCATAATTAAACTTTTAAATCTTAACTTGTTTGATTTCACTTTTCAGGATTTACTTTTCAGAAAATTGAAATTTTTTGTTTTTCCTATTTTTTTATTTTCACTAATTTTTTTAATATTTTGAGTAATTTTTTTAATTTTTAGATACACCTAACATAAATACACTTAAAATAGTATAATATTTGTGAAAACAATCTTTAAAAATTCATGAAATACCAAAATACAAGAAGAAAAAAAATGAAAAATCAGTACATTTTCGTATTCTTGTGTATTTATTGATTTTTTAAAATATTTTTTTTAATAAATATTTTACTTTTTAGATATATCGGCATCGTTTGGGAAGTGGTTTTATGGGATTTTTTGGCTATTTTAGCCACAAAAGATAAAATAGGCTATTTTAGCCACAACAAACAAAATATTACATCCAACCCATAATCATTACACTATTCTCTTACAAAAAAAGTCAAAAAAGTCAAAAAGTCCTTCCCAAATCAAGTTTTTTAGCCCAGGTTAAAATAGCCGAAAAAGTCAAAAAGCTAAAAATCCAACCCACTTCCCAAACCAACCCTAAGTAAGGTGTATCTAAAATTTTTTTTTTTTAAAAAAATTGCTTAAAATTTTAAAAATATTCATTAAAAACAAAAAAATACGAAAGATAAAAAAACTCAATTTTCAGAAAATTAAAACCAAACATATTAGACTTTTTCTATTTTTATATCCTTTTTTTTTTGTTTCCTATTAGAATTCTTATTTTTATTTCTCTTTTTGTTTTTTTGTTTTTTTTTTTTAAAGGCCAAAGTATTATACTATCATAATCAACGTTTCCAGTACAAAGCAATTCAAAACATATATGCACACGGGGGTGTTTGTTTGGGCTTTTTTGAGTCAACTTATAGCTTTTAGCTATCGAAAAGCTATTTTAAACTGTTTAGTTAAACTTATTTCAAACAGTTTCTAATTCTAACAACTTATTTTAACTCAAAAAATTGATTTTGAGAAGCTGCTTACCCCTTACTTCTGATTATTAGATTCTGCTGTGGACATGTTAATTTACGATTATACTCTTAGATTTCTTTTTTTTTTTTTAAAGAAAAAAAATAGAAAAAGACCAAAGTGGACTATAGATTATTGTTATTATTATTTATGAGAAATGTAGACAAGTAGTGAATAACAAAAGAATAAAAGTTAATTGAAAAAGCTACTTCACAGCTTATTTAACAAACACTACTCAACAACTTAAATTTATAATCCAACATCTATACCAAACAGATTAACAGCTTTTGATTAAAGTCATAATTTATAATCTGTTAAGTTATAATCTAAAATCTGTTTTAACAATTACACCAAACGGGGCCACTATATAGGGAAAGTGAATTATAACACTTTTTGTTTGGTTTAATTTTCATAATCAATTTTTAAAAAAAATTATGAAAAAAATAAAAATTAATTTGGTGTAAAAAATTAAAATTAAAAATAAAAAAAATGCTCATCTTTTTCACATGATTTTTTTTTCTTTTTTGGGTGCAAAATTAATTTTTAAATAACCAACATTTCTGGTACAAGGCAATTCAAAACATATACATATATTAAAAATTAAATTGATGTAAACAAATATTCATCATTGTCATGTTGGTAGGAGGGAAAGTTTACAAGTACTGAAAAATTGGAGGGAAATGGTTACAAAGGGGGTGTTTGGGAACCTAGTTTTGAGGCTAAAATGGCCCCAAAAACAAAAAAAGCCCAAAAGCCTTTGAATCAAAAGTTTTTTCAAAAAAAAAAAAAAAAGGACGGCAAGAAACTGTCATTGTGACAGCCTACCACTGTCACAGTGACAGGTAGGGAAATTACAATTTTGCCCCTTTGGATTTATTTTGAAAAATGTGAAGTTAGGGATAAATTTATCATTTTAATTTCAAACATCATTTCAACACATTTTTCAATACACCAACTCAAATAAAAATTCATCTCATCTTCCCAAACACTAAAAACTAAAATAGCCTACTAAAATAGCCAAAAAGCCAAAAAACCTCTAAAATAGCCACTTCCCAAACACCCACAAAGTCGTGTGTTGTTTTATAAGGGATGAGAAGGGTATTTTGGACATTTCTATGTTTATTGTTGCTGATGTCACTCTTTTTGGTTACTTTTATAACGTGTTTCTAACAGGATGAGAAATTTGACTATTATTTTTAAAAATAAGGGAGGTCTGTGAAATTTTTAAAACTATAAGGTAAGTATCTGTAATTAAAATAAACTTTAAGGGAGGTAAGTATAATTTACCCTAATAATAATTGATGATCAGGAATGGCAACGGGCCGGGGCGGGGCCGGGGATCACCCTCCCCGTCCCTGATCCCCGAAGCTACAAACTGGCAACGAGGCAGGGTGGGGCCGGGGATCACCATCCCCGTCCCCGATCCCCGAAGCTACAAACTTCACCGTCCCCGGCCCTAATCCCCGACAGGAAACCCCTCACTCCCCCCAGGCCCGCTCCCAACGGGGATCAGGTTTCCCCAACCCCGGAAAATCCCCGTAACTCACTCACTCTCTCTCTCTCTCTCTCTCTCTGTTTAGCTTTCTCTCTCAATAACAAATCATCATCAACAACATCATCGATCATCAACATCATTTTCATCAACGGCAACATCATCA